ATATGAATAAATAATTCTCAAAAGAACTGCAAAGTATTCATAATTATATGAACAAAATGCTCCAAATCCTTAATAACAAAAGAAATGCTTAGCAAAACAACCCTGAGGTTTCACCTCATACCTTGCAAATTAACAAAAATAAAAAAATTATCAATAGTCAATGGTGGAGGGGCTACCGAAAAATAGGCACGTCAATACATTGTTGATGGAAAGCATTTTGGAATTAAGCAAATAAAATGACTAAAATGTCCATGCCCTTTGAACCAGGGAATCCATTACTCAACTTATAGCCCAAGGAAGCCATTGATAAGGAAAAAACCTCTATATACTCCAAAATATTGATAGCACCTTTTGTGCTAGCTAAAAATTGGAAACAACGTAGATGTCCATCAATTGGGGAAGGGCTAAACAAATTGTAATACATGAATTAATGGAATATTACTGTGCTGTAAGAAATAATGAGTGTGATGAAAACATAGAAGCATGGAAAGATCTACATGAACTGATGCAGAGTGAAGTAAACAGAACTAAGAACACAGCATATACAGTAACTATATTATAAATAGAACAAAACCATACCAAAAAATAAAAAATGAATATGACAAAATTATAAAAATCAAGTAGATGAAGAGATATGAGAAGACACTTCCAAACTAACCCTTCATGGAGATGGGGGATACACAGGTGGATTGCATATGTTTGGAGGCTTTTTCAATTTATGAACCAATTGAGTAACTTTTTTCTTTCTCCAAAATACTATTTTTCATGTGAGATGGCTCTCTGGAAGAGGGAGGGATACATAGGATATTATGATGATGTAAGGAACAGAAAATATTAACAAAAACTTATTCAAAAAAAGAATTAATTGGGGAGTCAGTGTTTTGTTAGAGTTATGCTGGGTGTTTTTTTTTTTATGTGACATTGTAATATAGGCTCTGAAAATGGTACATATACATATTTACTTTCTATAAATACCCCAAGACAAGTAGACAGGATTCTGTTTAATGTAAAAGATGACAAAAAGAACATTAGAACTACAGTAGGTCAAGTGTACTTCTAGAATGAAAAAAGGAAGAAAACAGCACTATCATTGCTTCTGAGGTAAAAATGAATGGTACAGACTTTGCTTGAGATTCAGTTTAATTTCTACTACATAATTAAGTCAGAGAAAAAGTATAGATCAAAAACAACTTTGTTTCTTTTAAGATTACTACTCTTAAAACTATGAGTATAATTTATTTACTTATTTTTTAATTTCTCTTTTTTAAAAAAATTATTTTTATTATTTTTTTTTATTTTTAACATGTGTTTTTAAAACTTTGGGTTACAAATTTTCTCCCTTCCTCCCTCCCCACCCACCCTCATTGAAAAGGCAAGCATCTCAATACAGGTTATAGATGTGTAGTCATGCAAAACACTTCCATAATAGTCCTGCTGTGAAAAACTAAGTATATTTCCCTTCATCCTATCCTACCCCCCATTTATTCTATTCTCTCTTTTGACTCTGTCCCTTCTCAGAAGTGTTTGCTTTTGATTATCCTCTCCCCCAATCTGCCCTCCCCTCTATCAACCCCCTGCTCTCTTGTCCCCTCCCCCCCTTATTTTCCTGTAGGGTAAGATAGATTTCCATACCCCATTGTGTATGTTATTCCCTCCTTAAGCCAAATCCTATGAGAATAAGATTCACTCATTCCCTCTCACCTTCCCCCATTTCTCCTCCACTGGACAAGCCTTTTCTTGTCTGTTTCATGTGACATAATTTACCCCATTCTACTTCTCCCTTTCTCCTTCTCCCAGTATAATCCTCTCTCACCCCTTAATTTTATTTTCCAGATATCACCCCTTCATCTGCAACACACCCTGTGCCCTCTATCTATCTATCTATACATACATATAATTTTTTTTCCCTCTCACTACCCTAATACTGACAAAGAACTCATGAGTTACAAATATCATCTTTCCCTGCAGGAATGTAAACAGTTCAACATTAATAAGTCTCTTATGATTTCTCTTTCCTGTTTACCTCTTCCATGTTTCACTTGAGTCTTGTATTTGAAAGTCAAATTTTATATTCAGCTCTGGTCTTTTCCTCAGGAATGCTTGAAAGTCCCCTATTTCATTAAATGACCATTTTTTACCCTGAAGGATTATACTCAATTTTCCTGGGTAGGTGATTCTTGGTTGTAGTCCTATCTCCTTTACCCTCTGGAATATCATACTCCATGCCCTCCGGACCCTTAATGTAGAAGCTGCTAAATCTTGTGTTATCCTGATTGTGTTTCCACAACACTTGAATTGTTTCTTTCTGGCTGCTTGCAATATTTTCTCCTTGACCTGGGAATTCTGGAATTTGGCTACAACATTCCTAGGAGTTTTCCTTTGGGGATCTCCTTCAGGAGGTGATCGGTGGATTCTTTCAATTTCTATTTTGCCCTCTGATTCTAAAATATCGGGCAGTTTTCCTTGATAATTTCTTGAAAGATGATGTCTAGGCTCTTTTTTTTTTTATCATGGCTTTCAGACAGTCCAATAATTTTTAAGTTCTCTCTCCTGGATCTATTTTCCAGGTCAGTTGTTTTTCCAATGAGCTATTTCACATTCTCTTCTATTTTTTCATTCTTTTGGATTAGTGTTACAGTGCCTTGATTTCTCAAATTGTCATTAGCTTCCAATTTCTCCATTCTATTTTTAAAGGAAGTATTTTCTTCAGTAAGCTTTTGGACTTCCTTTTCCATTTGGCTAACTTTGGTTTTCAGGGCATTCTTCTCCTCATTGACTTTTTGGACCTCTTTTGCCATTTGGGTTAGGCTATTTTTTAAGGTGCTATTTTCTTTAGTAATTTTTTGGGTTTCCTTTAGCTTCACTCTCAGTTTTTCCTCTACTTCTCTTATTTGCTTCTCAAAATCCTTTTTGAGCTCTTCCATGGCCTGGGACCAATTCATATTTTTCTCGGAGGCTTTGGATGTAGGAGCGTTGGCTTCGTTGTCTTCTAGTTATATATTTTGATCTTCTTTGTCACCAAAGTAAGATAATATAGTCTGACTCTTTTTGCGCTACTTGCTCATGATCCTGGTGAATTACTTGAGTTATAAACTCTTTGTTAAGGTAGGGTTCTGTTTGCAGTGTGGAGAAAGTACTGTCCCAAGCTTTGGGGGTTTTGTGCAGCTGTTTTCAGAGATACTTCTAGGGACCTGTAAATTTTCAGTTCTTCCAAGGTGCTATGATCAAGGGCGAGGTTACTCTTTTCCTGGCCTGTGCTCTGGTCTGTGAGTGACCACAAGCACTCTTTTGTGTCTTGGAACTGTGAGGAGGATTTCCTCTCCACCACCACTACAAGCTCCACCATGCCAGTGCTCCTCTTCACCCCAGGACCACCACCCAGAACTGTGACCCAGATCCAAGCATGGGCAAAGCAAGAGAATCCTGCACCAGCAGAGAGATCCCTGCAATTCCTCTCTGATCAGCCACTCGATTTCTCCTCAGTCTGTGGGCCAGAAGCTCAGGAGGCAGCCACCGCCCCGGGGCCGAGCTCAGGGAATGGGGCTGGAACTCCACCATGATTCTCTCTCACTACTGCAGAAACACTTTTCCCACTGACCTTCTAAGTTGTCTTTGAACTTCACGGGTTGAGAAGTCTTGAAACTGTCACAGCTGCCTGTGATTCAGTCCTCTGAGGCCTGCTCCAGGTTCACTGCAACCTGCGCACCAACGCTGAACTGTGCTCCTCTCCCAGCCTGGCGCAATATACCTTTCTAATCAACCATCCAGGTTGTTTTGGGCTGGAAATTCGTTTCACTTTGTCTTTTTGTGGGTTCTGCTGCTTTAAAACTTGTTTAGAGCCATTTTTTATAGGTATTTGAAGGGGTCTGGGGGAAAGCTCAAGCAAGTCACTGATTTTACTCCGCTATCTTGGCTCCCTTATGAGTATAATTTAAAGTAGTGTTGGTCCAAATGAATAATTCTGGTAAAATTATTTAGATTCTTAACATAGTAGAAAACTGATTAATGAAAACATGTGTTAAAGCAAAGAGCCTTATTATACAATCTGTCAGTATGATGAGAAAATAAAAGAATTTCCATGTAATCTGTATGACAAAAATTCCATCTCAATCTTATAAAAAAGAATCTACCCATTTACATCTCTCTGCCTCTTCCTCACCCTCTCTCTCTTTCTTAGTTTCTGTCTCTGTGGAAAAAGTATCTCTAAAAAAAAAAAACCTTAGGTAATAGTATACAGGGATATAACATCACAAATTTAATAAGGATAAATGACATTAACATCTCATTTTTTTTCCAGCAAAATAATCTACCAAGAACACACTTGAAAGCCAGGAAATAATCATAAAGTATATCACTAATATAGCTGTCACAATGTCTTTTTCACCACACTTGAGTAACAGCCCTCACATACCATTTACTCTTATTTTACACATAATTCTAATTAGTGTGTGGCCTGGTTTCCTAGCCTATAACAGATCAAAAGTATCAAATCATTAAGAAGAAAGAAGATCTATACTATTAAGGAACATAAAGAGGGAGGAACACTTATAGCAACAAGAAGTGAACAATAACAAGAAAGAAACTGAAAAATGATTTTAAAAAAATATGGCAGCTTAAGGCTGAGCATGGGAGAAAACAATGATCCCTGTAGAGAGTACAATACAACACAGTAAAGTAATTGATATTCATAATGAAAACACTGAGTTGTGAAGAAAAGTTTATATCATGATCTATGTATTCTGTTTATCACAGGAAACACACACTTGATTTGAAGAAGACTTACATTCAATTTTTTTAAAATTTTGTGCTTAAAGGAGACTATTTCAATTATTTGGAATTTAAATTATTAAGAATAACTCATCTGACAATTTTTGATAAATGAGATTACTGTATGGGCTTTTTTTATAGGACTGAAATTCAATGTATATGAATTTTATAAGATATCTTATTAAAATACTAGAAGGAAAAAGAATGATATTAACTTAAAAGAATAACAATACCTGAAGAAATGATGAGTCATAATCCCTGTAGGAACTAGATCCTTTTTTATGGGACCTTTCTGTATGTTCAACATCCGAATCAAGGCTGTAGTCTGAACTGTCATCACTAGAGGGAGAATTATGCTGGAAAAAAGGTAAAAACCAAATACGTTATAAAGTGTAAATTTATTGTCCAAAGAAGATACAAACTCTTAGTGTTCCAACAATGAAGGAATCGGCCCCAACCTATATCCCTTGCAGTTTTCCAGGATTCCCAGGAAGGAAAAGTATAATCTCTTCTCTTTGTTTAAGAGCTTTACAAAGTAAGTACCTTTTTTCTTCACAGCTCTATCCTCTGCATCCCCCTAAGTAATCAAGGCTTTGGAAAAAAAGGAAAAGTAACCCTTCATAAAAAAATAAAAAAATAAATAATAAAACAAAACAAAAACCAGAATGGTAACCTCATGATTTAGATAGGATATTTATAACCTAAGAATGCTATTGTCTGCCTTTGCTAATGAGTAAGAACCTAAATTCTGACAAATATATAAAAAATGAAATAGCTACGAAAATAGAAAAAGTACTGGGTAAATCCTCCTATTTGACAAGTTACAATTGACAAAAGAAATACCAATTGTGATAAACATAAAACTGACTTTAATATTGAGATTTCATTAATATTTGCAAAATTTTACAATACACTCTATAAGACATCCTTATTTTCTATTATTATCCATCAATTTAGAGCACAATTCACTTACAATTCATCTTGTATGCCTCTTGCCTAGAGTCTCTCAAAGATTCTCATACTACTCCTTTCTTACTGAAGAGTAATATTCAACAACATTCTTATACCATAGTTTCTTTTTTAGCTACTTCCCAATTGACGGATACCAACTTTGTTTAAATTTTTTGGTACCATCAAAAGAGCTTGTATGCTTACATCAATAAATACTAGGCCTTTCTTTCTGTCTGACTTCTTTGAGACAAAAGTCTAGTAGTGGAAGAGCTGAGTCAAAGGATATAGATAATTAGTCAGTTTTGCAATTCCAAACTGATACCAAGAAATCCTAGACCAAATTATAGCTCTATGATCAATCAACAAGCATTTATTAAGCGCCTAATAAATGCCAGGCACTGTGCTAGGTGCTGAAGGCACATTAATAAAAGTGAACATTCTCCACTCACAAGAAGCCTATATTCTACACAGGCAGATAGCATGGACCTGTATATACCTGTATGTATGTTTATACAAAATAGATGCTATTTTGTTTTGGGGGAATCAGGTAATGGTTCTCAAAGAAGAAACTATTTGAGGAGAGTCTTGAAGAAATTAAGGTGTCTAAGATGCAGAGGTGAGGAGGTCCTTGCAGGTCAAAGGCATGAAGACAGAAGATAGAGTGTGTCGGGTATCAGGAACAGTAAGAAGGCCAGTTTGACAGGACTATCAAGTGTATAAGTAGGTTTGTAACAAATAATAAGACTGGAAAGGTAGGATGAAGTCAAGTTGTGAAGAAATTTAAATGCCAAAGGATTTTATATTTGCTCCTAGAGACAACAGGAAGTCACTAGAGTTTAATGAGTCAGAAGCCTGACATAGTCAGATCTGGATTTAAGAAAAAACACTTTGGCAGCTATATGGAGAATGAGAATGGAATAGGGAGAGACTTGAAGCACAGCAGTCAAACAGAGGGATATAGCAATAGTCCAAATAAGAGGTGATGAGCACTGAATTAGGGTAATAGCTGTGTGTTTGGACAAATGTTAGGGAGATATTTAAGTAGAAAAGATAAGATATGGCAAATGATTAGTTATGTAAGGGTAAGTGAGGAATTGAGCATGACCTCAAGGTTTTAAGACTGAGTGACTGGTGGGAAGGATAATGTTGCCCTCACCAGTAATAGGAAATTGGGAGGAGAGGTGAGTTGGGGAAATAATGAATTGTGTTTTGGATATTCTTAGTTTGAGATGCCTACAGGACAACAAGTTTGAAATGCCCAATAGTTAGTTTGTGTTCAGTACTAGTGCTAAGAAAAGCAAATAAATATAAAGCTCTAGGAGTCATCTATAGAGAGATGACAATTAAACTTATGGGAACCAATGAAATCACCAATGTGAGTACAGAAAGAAAAAAGAAGAGTGCCAAGAACAAAGTAAGTTAAGAGGTTGGAGTATGGATGATGATCCAGCAAAGAAGATTGAGAAGTAGCAGTCAGACAGGTGGGAGGAGAAACAAGAGACAGCAGTGTCTGGAAAATCCTGAGAATACAAGGGGTCAGTAGTATCAAATACCGCAGAAATTTCAAGAAGGATGAAGATTGGGAAAAGACCATTATATCTGAAAATTAAGAAATAAACGGTTAATTTTGGAGAAAGCAATTTCAGTTAACTGATAAGGTCAGAATCCAGAATGCAAAGGGTACAGAAGTGAATGAAAGAACGTAAGGTACTTAGTATAGCAGCTATTTCTAAGAGTCTGGTTGAAAAAGAGAAGAGAGACACAGGACAATAGCCTGAGGGGTTAATAAGAACTAGTGATGGTTTTGATTTGGGCATGTTTGAAGACAGCAGGGATGGAACCAATAAATAGGGAAGAATAATAAATGGGGAGGGAAAAATCTGTACTATCTACTGGAGATGATGAAATCAAGGGCCAACATTGGTCTTTGTGATGAGGGGCTGGCCTTGGTGAGAAAGTCTACCTCTTCATCAGAAACTGGAGTAAAGCAGGGAAAAAATGAGCGATTATGCCAAGGAATAGTTAAGTAAAGAAAAGGGAAGAGAGAGTTTGCTACAAATGTCCTCTTTTTTCTCCAAAAATTATGAGAGGAGGTCCTCAATTTAGAGTGTGGAGGGGTAACAAGTAGCATGAAAGACTTGAGAAGAGAGAATCTGGAATAGCCTCTGTGGGGCCTGGGATTGAGAATCAATTAGGAGGATCTAAAAGGATTACTTTGCTGTAGTGAGGGTCTGCTTGAAGTTAGAAAACAAATTTGTAGTGGACCATAGAATTACAAAATTTAAGAGCTGGAAGGGACCTTCTAGTTGCAACTGGCCTTCCAGTCCCAATCATACCCAAAGGGATCCTACATATACCCAATAAGTGGTCACCTATCCTTTGCTTGAAAACTTCCATGGAAAGAGAATCCATCACTTCTTAAAGCATACTATTTCACTTTTGGACAGCTCTAATTGTTAGGAATTTTTTTTCTAACATTGAGCCTAAATTTTCTTCTTTGTAACTTGTACCTATTCTACCTGGTTGTGCCGCTTGGAACCAAACAGACTAAGTCTAATACCTCTTACACATAATAATCGTTCAAAAACTTCTACACAGCTATCATGTCCCCTGAGTCTTCTTTTTTTCCAGGCTAACCATCCCCAATTCTTTTAATCAAACTTTAAATGACATACTCAAGGCCTTTCACCATACTGCTTGCCATTCTCTGGACAATTACTTCCAGCTTATCAATATCCTTCTTAAACTGTGGTTCCCAGAACTAAAGACAACACTCTAGATGTGGTCTGACAAGTGTGTAGTTGAGAGGGACTACTACCTCTTTATTCCTAAAAGCTATGCTTCTCTTAATGTAGCCCAAGATGACATGAGCTTTTGTGGCTGCCACATTACATTCTTGATTTATACTGAGTTTGCAGTTCACCAAAACCACTAGATCTTTTTCAAACTGCTGTTCAGTCATATCTACTCCATCTTACCCTAGACCCTGGAAGCAAGATAGTATAGTGTATAGAGCACTGGGCTTGGAGATAGGAAGACCCAATTTCAAATCTAGCCTCACATGCTTACTAGTCACTTAACCTCTGTTCGATTCAGTTTCCTCATCTGTAAAAATGGGGGTAATAATAGCACCTACCTCCCAGTGTGGTTGTGAGGATCAAATGAGGTTGCTATTTGTTGTTGTTCAGTCATTTTCAGTTGTGTCCAACTATTCGTGACCCCATTTTGGGTTTTCCTGGCTAAGATTCTAGAGTGGTTTGCCATTTTCTTCACCAGCTTACTTGACAGATGAGGAAACTGAGGCAAACAGGGCTAAGTGACATGCTAATAGTCACACAACTAAAAGTGTCTGATGCCAGATTTGAACGCATGAAGATGAGTCTTTCTGACTCCAGACCTGGGACTCTATCTACTGCACTTAGCCCAATGCCTGGCACACAGTAAACACTATATAAATATTAGTTGCTGTCATTGTCGTCATCATCATCATCATCATCATCATCATCATCATCACTATCATCACTATCATCTTGTACTAGGAGGTTATCTAGTTGGTTCAGTGGATACAGCACTGGACCAGAATCTGGAAGACTTGAGTGCCTCAGGCACTTTTAGTTGTGTAACCCTGGGCAAGTTGATTAACATTTACAATTATAAAAAAGGTAACTTCTAACCTTGTGTTTCTCACGTCTTCTCCTTTTCGATTTTTTCTTTTCTTTTTCTTTCTTGCGTTTCTTTCTTGATTTTCTGTGGGCTCTCTCACTTTTCTGTTTGTCATTCCCTTTTGCTTCTGGTTGCTCTTGTGTTTCCTCAAATCCAGCATCGTCTATTTCACCATCTTCTAATTCACCATCTTCTCTATAGGAGAATAGGCAAAAAAATGAATGTTTAAATGTCAATTCAGAAACTAACACATTAGACATATTTTCTTTATCTTTTCTGGAGGGTATGGGAATGGTCTAGACCTGTAATCTCATTAGCATAATGCCCTCTTAGAAAAGAACCAAGGTATATCAGTCCTTGCTCTGCAGATGTAGTTCATAATCTTTAGTTGCCTGGGACACTGAGAAGCTGAGTGACTCCCTGGATCACAAAGCCAGTACTATAAGATGCAGAGCAGGTCCCCATCTAGAATGGAGGAGGGAGACCCTCCCCAGGAGCTCCCTGTGCCAAAGATAACACAGCCCTGGTTTTAAAAAAAAAATCATCCTTTTTAAGTTTGCATTTTGAGTAAATTTTTGGAAGTATGAATAAATTTACAATATAGCCTAAGCTTCTTGGACACTTCAACAACAAATCAAAACTGTATAGTTTTATTTTTGAGATATCTGTGGATTTGAAAAGCATTTTATAAGCAGTAAAGTACTATACTATATAAGTTGAATCTATTATTACTCTTATTTGCTGCTTTATAATACTTTTTATTTCAATCATTTTAGATGTCTCTCTGAAATTGTTTTAATCTTCATGATGCAGGGTCACTATTCTGAAGATTAATTATTATAAAACAGGTCACAATCTCTCTGAAACTATTTCCTCATCTGAAAAAAAATGGGCATTAACAGCACTTTTGCTTGTCTTATAGAGTTTATAGGATCAGAGTTTTAGGCTGGAAAGGGACCTTAAGAAGTCATCTTAAGAGGCCACTGAAGCTATACTGTAGAGTGTTTGGTGGGGAGTAAAATGCAGGAAGACTGGAAAGGCAGGAAGGAGCCAGTTTGTGAACAGCCTCACATGCCCAACAGAAGAGTTTATGTTTGATCCTGGAGGCTATAGGGAGCACTGGAACTCACTAGAGGGGGTGGGAGGTTGACACTGCAAGACCTACACTTTAGAAAAATCTCCTTGTCAGCTGAATGGAAGATGAATTCAAGATAGGGAAGAGACTTGAGGCAGGGTTGTCAATTAGAAGGCAATTGCAATAATCCATGAAAGAAGTGGTTGGAAGTGATGAAGACATTACAGTAGGGTGGCATCTGTATACATATATATACGTAGGGTGGAGAGTATTTGGATGTATACAAGAGATGTTATGAAGGTAGATGTACCAAGATTTGACAACAGATTGTATGTATGAGATAAGGTATTGAGATACTGAAGTTAAAAGCCTGGGTGACTGTGAAAATGGTAATGCCCTTGACGCTAATAGGGGAATTCAGAAAAGGGGAAGGTTGCGGGTTCAGTGAAGATAACGAGCTCTGCATTGGACATGTTGGGTTTGAGATGCCTAAAGGACATCCAGTTTATAGATGCAGTAGAGGCAGATGGTAATGTATGACTGCTGCTCAGGACAGAGGTTGGGTCTAAATAAATAGATCCTGGAATTATCTGCATAGAGATAATTGAACCCATGGCAACTCATGAGCTCACCAAATGAGAGTATAGAGGGAAAAGAGAAAAGGGCCCAGGACAGAGCCTTGAGGAACTCACATTTAATGGGTGTGACCTGGATTAAGACCTAGAAAAGAAGTTTGAAAAGAAGCAGCCAGACAGGTTGAAGAACCAAGAAAGTATTGTCATGAAAATCTAGAGAAAGAATATCTAAGAGGTTGATTGACAGTTTAGAAAGTTGCAGAGAGATCAATAAGGATGAAGATTAAGAAAAAGTCATTGGATTTGGCAATCAAGAAATCCTCGGTAGGGGCAGCTAGGTGGTGCAGTGGATAGAGCACCAGCCCTGAAGTCAGGAGGACCTGAGTTCAAATCCGGCCTCAGACCAAACACTTGACACTTACTAGCTGTGTGACCCTAGGCAAGTCACTTAACCCCAATTGCCTTAAAAAAAAAAAAGAGATCCTTTGTAACTTTGGAGAGAGCAGTTCAGTTGAATAAGTGGGTCAGAAACCAGGGGCATTAGAAGCAAATAAGAGAAGTGGAGGCAACTAGTGTAAGATGACTTTCTCAAGGTATTTAGTTCAGAAGGGGAGAGATAGAAGACAACTAGTGAGCATGATCAAGTGAAGCTTTATTTTTCTTTTTGTAAGTGGAGGAGATGTGGGAGTGTTTGTAGGTAGCAGGGGGAAGAGAAAGGAATAAGCATCTATATAGCAACCATTATATGCCAGGCACTGTGCTACGTGTTTTACAAATATTATCTCACTTGATCCTTACAATAATCCTGTGAGATAAGTGCTATTTACCCTATTTGATAGATGATGAAAATGGGGCAAATTGAGGTTAAGTGACTTGTACGGGGTCATACCGCTGACAAGTGTCTGAGGCTGGATTTAAATGCAGGTCTTCCTAACTCTAGGTCCAGTGCTCTATTCACTGAGCCTCCTCATTGCCTTACCAAGTAGGGGAGGATATGAGACACAGGGGGAAAGAAAAGAGGGATGATAATGGGGGCAATCTGCTGGAGTATCTGCAGGGGGGATAGGAGTAAGAGTGCAGGTGTAGCGTCTTGCCTTGGTAAGAAAAAGATCTATTTCTTCATTCAAGACAAGGGTGAAGGAAGAGATCCTGGGGGAAAATGACTGAATGATGGGAGAAGAGGAGAGCAAAGAGAGTACCTTTTCATCAAATGGTTTGAATTTTTTTTTCTGTGTGTGAAATATGAGATGAGGTCCTCAGTTGAGAAGGTAGAAGAAAAGAGATCTGTAGAAGGTTTGATGGGGGATGAAAAGGTTTGGAATAGCTTCAGTGAGTGGGATAGCTCCCTGACTAGTAAGTTGTAAAAAGGTTTGCCTTGTTGCAGTGAGCACCAGTTAAGATTACTTAACATATATTCATAGTGGACTCAGTCTTCATGGCTTTGTGATTTTCTTTAGCTATGTTCAGCAGTATGTGAATAGCAGTGAAGGAGGTGGTTGATGGGAGTACTAAAAAGTTGGAAAAATGCTAGAGACACAGATACCATAACAATATCATTTTACAATTATGTGGAAATTTTTTTAGTTTTGAAAGGTACATTCAAGGACTCTCATTCATGGCCGAAATATCTGTGTAGAAACCTGGGTAGTGTCTGTTTAAAAAAAAAAAAAAAAAGAGAAGTGGTCTCTAAAATGGCTGTACTAAATGCAGCATGCTTGGGCAAGACTAAGTCTAAGTCATTTCCAAATTAAAAGATACTCTATACTCCTCTAGTAGACAGCATACTTCCCATCATAAACTATTAAATTATCAGCATAATTAGAGTTTTATTATTCCTTGGTAAGCTGAGCATAGATATTTCAAACCGTCAGATATGAGACAATAAGCACTATGTGACATAGTATGGAAGAGTTAAACTTCAGTGCTGTCATCTGTGTAATAAGAATAATCAAAGCACCTAACAGCAACTTTCTCACACAGAATTAATATGTATAGGGAACTTTGTAAAGTCCATTATATTTATCATTAACTAATCCCAATGAGATTTTTCCTGCTTCATTTCTACAATTTAAAAAATTACTATTATCTGAAAAAAAAAGATTATACAGATTATTTAGTTTAATAAAATTAATATAATTTTGTAGTTTTGTGATAGTTTTAATAAAGTATGGGGAAAATACCCTCAAAATATTCATGTTTAGAGGTGATTTATCTACCAATGATTTTTGCTTCAATTAACTTTATTTAGTAAAGAGAAAAAAATGGAGGCATAAAAGTCTAATGAAAAGAATACTAGATTCAATTATTAAACCAGCTATTAACTAGCTATGTGACCTTTAGTGAGTTATTTAATCTGACTCTAAGTTTCTTAATGTGTACCTTCTTTTCTAAAATTCTATGAATCTGTGATCCAAACACTTATTCAGTTTTCTCAGCTAACAACAAAACTGATAAAAAAATTCTTTAATGTAATATATGATAATATAGTATACATAATTTATAGAATATATAATAGATTCTAAATTTTAGGATACATAATATGTATTGCCTTATGCATATACTATATATATATATATATACACACTCATTCATTCATTCATTCATTCTATCATTCTATCTATCATGTTTAACTTATATGCCTTCCAAGTCCTATTCTAATACAGTATGAAAGGGAACCTGCCTTCTTAAAGGCAAAAGCAGGGAAGCACAAGCTCTGGCAAAGTCCTGCAAAGCTGAAATAGCCTCAAGTACGGGCCCAGCAATGGATTATATGTCTTTCAACCAAATATTAGCCTAGCTAACTTTGGAAAGTCTCATCACCAGAGGGCTGACCACTACACAAATTTTAGCATATCAACTCATCAACATCATTTACTAAGGCACTGAGTGTTATGTTCTGTACTAAAAAGGAAAGCCCCACATGGATGCAATCATATGTCTTTTAAGTAGGGGGTTCTTATCCTTTCTGTGTGTCATGCACCACTTTGACAGTCTAATGAAGCCTATGAATGCCTTCTCAGAATCATGTTTTTAAATGCATAAAGCAAAACACATAGGATTACAAAATAAACTAATTCTATCTATCTAAATCAGTCTATCAAAAAAAAGTTCATGAATTCCGGGTTAAGAATATTTGCTTTAAGTAGTAAATAAGCAGTTACTATAAATGAAACACGTAACTACCTACTTCCATGGTACATCAAACAACTAGGATATACTTTTTATAAGAAAAAGAATTAAACTGATTTGTCATGATAACTATTTGTATCAAATCCATCCTATGCTAAATTAACAATTTATAGTATACAGGGCATATCAAAATCAATTAAAGCATAAAACTACACTAAGTCTTTTGATATACCCCCTGTATAGAAAGTATAGAAAAGACACAGTAACAAGAAAAGTAGCAAGGTGGCCTTAGAGTCATGAAGACTTCAACTACAGGTGTTCAAGTTTGTTCTTATAATGGTTGTGTGACCTTGAGCAAGATATTTAATTTCCCAGCACCCTAGGCAAGTCTCTAAGACTATAAATTAAAGAGGTCT